ATATATAAAATCAATTATATATAGACATATTAAGTATGTTTTTAAGCTTATATAATTAAAGATAAATTATATATAATTGATTATCAGTATCATTACATTAATAACATCAGTAAGTTTTCAAGTAATCAAATTCTAAGATGTCTAGACAAAGATATTTTAAGCTTTGTTTCGTGTTAGGATGTCTTTATTCTCACTTCCATAATCTTTATCTCTTTCCAAAGTGCGAGACTGAGTAGCGTGGTTCACATAATTTTTCCTTTCATTTATGTACACATTGATAAAAACAAAAACGAATTAAATCATGGGAAATTCACTTCCTTTCATCTTCATATATAGTAAAACTTAGAAAGCAAATATAGTATTTGGACTAGGGAAAAAATAATAAGAAAAGAGTTTAATGCAATTTATTGCACTTTTTATTTTAGGAAACACCTAATAAATAAACTTTGAAAGGAAGCTATGTATATATATGTAATGGAATAGGAGGCTAAGCTAGCCCCAAATGTAGTGCTTCTTTTGACCAACCTCACCGTCCAACAATTACAATAGAAACATCTTTTTATAGCGCCTTCTATTTGATATTTTATATCACACTTTTGCCTTTTTTTATTAGTTTCTTCTCATATTCCTAACCAAGTATCCTTTGTTGGGCTAAGTATAACATATACATTGACACATGTTAAATATAAGTAATAGTCTTTTAATTCGTATAAAGTTGTATCGTACTTTTAGTTTAGTAAATTACATGTTCAATTCACTTTATATATTAGGGAAATGATATAATAATACGAATGGTTAATTTTACATTATCAATATATATATATATATATATATATATATTAAGTATTAGTAATAATAATATTAAATATATTTGATTTAATAGATATATTAGAGAGTACAACCTAATAAAATAAATTAAGTTTCTTTATTTTAATTAGTCTAATTTTATTATAATAATATATTATTTTGTTATTATAATAAATACTATTATATCTTTTATATATTTGAGATAAATATTATTTTAATTGAAATATAGATTATGGTGCATGTTGATCTTATCTATTGTTTAATTTAATAATTATTCACACTTATCATATTCATATTATAAACTTTTTTATTATTTGATTTATAAGATCTTTTGCAAAAGAATCTTCTCAAAAATAAGTATTCAAATTAGTTTATGTTAGAATCTTGCCATGTAAATTCAATTGAATTTGAAGGATCAAATATATATTAATATACTTGCACATAAATATAGATATGACATATGGTGCATTTGAAGTTTAGTTGGAAGAAGAAAAGAATAAGGTTGATAAGACGAGAACAATCCATAACTACAAAGCCACCAAACCTTACCTCCAATGGTTAGATTATGTTTGGACATTAGTGGTTCGGTGGCACTTGAGGAAGCCCAACCGCCCCACGTGACCCTCCTCCCATTCCAAAATTTCATCATTACCCAATTTCACTTTCTTCTTTTTTTTTTTTTTCTCATCACAACTTTATCAAATCACTCAAGTCAAATGGGGATTTCAATATTCATAGGGATTTTGTGAGATCGAGACACTAATCTTTATCTTGTGTTTTGTTTGTATATTTTTAGTCTACCATTTGGTTGTCACTTGTTTCGATCGACAATGCTTTTAACCTCGGTTGTCCCTTTGGACTAGAGGGAGAAGTATCTGTAAAAGACACTCCGACGCTCAAGTTAGTAATGGTTTAATGAATGGTATATCATAGTTGTATATTTGTGTTTTGATAGGACGTAAGAAAGGTGTAGTGAAGTATGAGTTGATCGTGCTTTTACTTTAAATCTAAACTTTTATTTATAAAGTTAAAGGAATCTGATAAATTAATTTACCTTTTAATAATCATTAATGCAAATTTTAATTGTCTAATGATAATTGTTATTACATTTATTATACCTTAATTCTGCTCAACAGTTTTCGAAATGAACCGCTGAGAAGCTTGATCGATAGTTAAGACCGTAGCCCGTGAGCTCTAAGACTAATAAGTAGTTTGTGAAGCCATAGTAACACGTTCAAATAATATCATTGCTTAAATTATTTTTTTAACAAAGATGCTATTGTTACCACGTGTTTAATAATCTGAATGATAATTTATCCAGAATAATTAGTATAATTAAAACGAATTTTAAAAATAGTAAATAAGAAAAAAAAACAAAAAGAAATTAACACCCTCCGACCAATCATGAAATCCTTGTATAGGGCATGTGTATATTCACACAGAGAAACACGTGTCTATCTTCATATTTCACACAGATATGCATGATTCTACATCATCATCTCATCATTATTATATATTTTATTAATAAAATTATCCAATTAATTATTTCAATGTATAATTTTAGTTCACAAGTTAATTCAATTTCTAATATTGAAAAAAATATTATGATGTTAGAGTGATAAATATAAAATAAAATAATTTAGGTGAGAAGAGTGAATAAATAGAAGATGGTTGAGATAGAGAGGAAGTAGGGAAGAGCATAGAGAGAAAGAGAGAAAGATAGAAAAGGAAAAGAGTGATCTGAAGAGAAGTTGCTTTTAGCGGTGTGGGAGTCACGAGAGCAGCGAGGAAGTCACAAGAGTCACAAGAAAAGGGAGAAGCGTTGAAGGGAGAAAGAATGGAGACAGATAGTGGGAGGCTGAGCAGGAAGAAAAGTGGTGGAAACGGACAGGTTCTAGACGGTTCCAATATTATGGAGTTGGTTGGAAACGACCAGGTTTTCACCACCTTCGTCGACAATAAGTTCCACGAGTTAGACACAGACAGAGATGGCAAACTCTCTGTGAAAGAGCTCCAACCTGCTGTTGCTGACATAGGTGCTGCTCTCGGCCTTCCTCCTCACGGCACCAATCCTGATTCTGATCACATCTATTCCGAGGTTTCTCTTTCTCCTTTTCTTACTCAAACCACCTAGTATTTCTTCTTCTACCAGGTTCTGTGTTCTAACTTTTCTGTCAAAAAAAAAAAAAAACAACCTAGTTACTGTTATATATCTTCCTTTCGTGCTTATGTTCCTGTCTGTTATAACCGCCTTGGAGTTTTGCTAATGCTGTGAGCATGATGCCGTCTTCAACCTAAAATTTATGTCACTGTAGTTTTGCTTCTGTTAAAACCGCCTTGTTATTACTTCTATTTCAGTTTTTAACAGACCAAAACAAAAACTCGGTTTTTGGTAGATTAAGAAAATAACATTCTCGGTGCTGAGAAAACTGTTGCTGAGGAAATAATGTGGCGTTATATGGTTGAAACTTTTTCCGTGGCTTTAGTTTCGGTAGTATCCTGAATTGCCTTATGTGTTGGTGTTTGTAATGAATAATTATTGGTGTCCAAGGGGGAATATATAATTGACTTATGTATCCTCTTTGTGATATCATTGTATCTTCATCTGATTTGTTTGGGTTCCAATGTCTGTTGTTTTAGCCATATTAAAATACTGTTCGTTTGTGGTTTAAGGCTTTAAGCTTTGTTTTTATCCAATGTCTTTGGCGCATTTGCAACATTTTTAATGTGCTTTCAATGCTTCGGACGTTGATGGAGAGGCAGACCTTAATTGATTTTTACAATTAGGTTTTCTGCGATGTTTATTTTATTGTGGAAAATATAACATGTTGCTTGGAATACATATCCTTTTCGGGCAATTATGGAGCAAGTTTTTTGTCAAAATCTTGAATTCTGATTGGTCCCAGAAGCATCCTAATCTGTTTATGACAATTTGGACTTATCCTTCTATATGATAAAATGGTCGGTCCTGTAGGACTAGTTGCCTTTTGATTGCAAACTTTGTGCAATTGATTTCTCTGCTCTACTTAACTTTTTGTGGTCATTTTCTTATCTCCGTGTAAGGAGGAATCTAACGAGGAATGTGGTAGAAAATAGACATAAGCTGGCATTTTGACATTTCAGCTTTAAATAATATGTAATTAAACTTAAAATATACTTGAATTTAAGACTGCTAATAAATAATAGTGGTAGAAAGTTTTGAGTTAGACTTTGTAGTGCAAAAAGTCAAACTGCTGTTATTCTATAGTCAATGATAAATCACAATAGCTGCATCCAGAAACAGAAGCCACTGTTTTCGTGGGGACAGCCAAAGGTTTTCTTTGGGTTAAAGCGTTCTCACCTACCTACTAAATTAGGCCAATCAATAAATTTATAAAGTCACAAGAAGACAAAAAAAAAAAAAAAGTAGCATTTGGTTCTAAAATAACGTGACGTGATGAGGATTAAATGGATTAGTTTTCTCTTTATCATTTCCTTTAAAAGATTAATTATATCTGTGTGACATGACTTTGATTGTCCAATATGTTTGAACCAATCAAGAAGCAAGAATTGACATGGAGAATGACTTGTTCTGTAGGTGTTGAATGAATTCACTCATGGGAAGCAGGAAAAAGTGAGCAAAACTGAGTTCAAAGAGGTTCTCTCTGATATTCTCTTGGGTATGGCTGCTGGACTGAAGCGTGACCCAATTGTGATACTTCGCATTGATGGAGAAGATCTTCTGGAATTTGTTAATGGTTCGGCTTATGAAGCAGAAATGGCGTTTATATTCTCTCATATTGAATCCCCTGACAGATCACTGCATGACCATATAATTGAAGCTCTTGGCAAGCTCACTGTGGAACAAGGAATTCCTCCTACAGCAGATTCTTGGGTAGCCCATTTACACATGTCGTTGACTTTCTTTACAAATGTAACATGTTTTTTTTTTTTTTTTTTACCTTAAACACGATCAGAACAGTTTCTCATTTGATGCTTAGAGGCTCCTTTCAGATATATCTCAAACTTGTTTCATTTCCTTCCTCTCTTGGCTTATCATATTTTTTGCTGGTTTAGGTTTTAAGCAACATTGTAGAACCGGCACTGCTATCTCTAGATAGATCTGGTTTGGACAAGCCTGTTTCTCAGGAGACATTTTTGGAGGAATTTAAGGTAGTGGCATTGGCTGTGGCGAATCGTCTTAAGGAGCAACCAGTCATAGTTGCTCACAGTGAGAACATCTTTGATGGAAGTGGTGTTAAGAGACTACTATCCAACAAGTTTGAATTAGACAAGGTCAAATTTTTGTGTGATTGCTTGTAATATCTTCCATTTTCTCTCTTCTTTTCTTCAACCTCCTTATATGGAACACACCCATATATCATGTGTTGCAGACTTTGAACTCAGCTTTAGAGACTTTGCCTAAAGATCGAAATGGAAAGATGTCAAAAGAGTATCTACGAGTGGCACTGGACGCGCTGGCTCCATCTGCTGGTTTACCTCCCCTTGGTGCCATTGAAGAGGTATATATATATATATATATGGTGTCAACACACTGCCAAATTATACTACCATTAATCATATCTAGTTAATATTATGGTATTTGCTTATGGATATATAGACACAGTGATGAACATTGAGGTGTTTGGTTGTGCAGATGGATAAGGTTATTGATGAAGTGTTTAAGATGGTGAATGCAGATGAAGCGAAGATGGTGAAAGAAGAGGAGTTCAAGAAAGTTTTAACTGAAATACTGGGGAGCATTATGTTGCAGTTGGAGGGAAGTCCCATATCGGTTTCTTCAAATTCAGTAGTGCACGAGCCTCTAGACTCATCTTCTACACTTCTTCAGCCATCCTCTAGTGAAACTGCACCCTAGCTGTACGTACGTGTTTAACATATCACGGCTAAATGAACCATCAAATATATAATAAAATTTTATTCATATGTAAATTATCATTACTCCCATAACTTGTGTTTTTCTGTGGAGCTATTTGTGAATCTGAAAAATATACAAACCATGGAGAACGAAATCTGATTACTCTCAAGTAAGATTATTTTACTATATATAATAATGCATACATTATCAAACATTGCGAATGAAACATTTGTTATAAAGGCAAATGTGAGTTCTATAAGTTGTATTGTATTGTCTAGTTGATATATAGTATCAAAACAAGTAGCAAGTGAACAAGTTTTTCACATAAAAGCTAACACAAATTTGTTGTATCTTTCCTTTATTGGTGAGAGTCATGGAAGATCGTTTAAAACGGAATTGTTAGGGATGGTTCCACAAAAACCCATAGCCAAGTTGAAGATATCGTATTCTCCATCCACCCAATTCAAACCCTTCTTTGGTAGGCTAATGGAGACACTGTAATAGATTATGCAGGCCAAGAAAGGCCCGACCCAGAAAATCCAATGCCCATTCCATAGTGAGCCTCCGTGAAGTAACGCCGAGCCCAAACATCTTGCCGGGTTGAGGCCCGCACCTGCATAACCAGGCCTCCTTGTTACAGTTAACGACAGAAAAACTGCGAGTGCGAGGGATGCTGCTACCACGAAACACACCATTGGAAAGCCCAATTCCTTGCTCCTTTTCTTATCAAATGCCAGCGTGATACCGACAAAGAGTACCAGAAGTGTGCAAGAGAATTCCAACAACAAAACATCCTGCAGGTTTATGGAAGAACCTTGTCCTTTGTCACCAATCGCACAACCTCCCAAAGAATAAGTGTGTGCTAATTTTGGCTCCATCACACTCTTGAGTACAAAGAATCCAATTATTGAGCCAATGCACTGTGCCAGGACGTAAAGGAGAGCACGAGAAAGGGTGACAATACCCTTTAGAGCCGCAACGAATGTGAAAATAGGGTTCATATGACCCCCGGATAGAGGAACTATCACAATTAAAAACAAGAACACTATGATGAACACTGCAAAGGGAATAAGAAGCTTGGGATTGGACTCGTGTGATTCCAAACATGCAACAGTGCAACTCGTTAGGGTGAACATCAGTGCACCAGTTGCAATTAACTCTACCAAAGCTGCTTTCCACGTCTGAGAAAAGGAATTCAAAACATGTTATTGCCGCTCAGTATATATATATTACTGAAAAGTACATAAAAATTATAACTAGATTCAAAAACCTCCACTGTGAAAATTTCATGGGCACCGATAAAGGTAAGAAATTTGGACTCTGAAAACTTGTCGTGAAACTTTGTGTCACCGCCATGAACGGCCATTGAAAGTTGGTCGTTCATTTCAACCACCTGGGAATTTGGTGGATCTGTTATGTGATATCTGCCTTCTATTTAACATTGTGAGTCTGCCAAACGCAATCATTGTGGAATCGCTTTCATGGCATCTTTCACCAAATATTAGAATTAACTTCCACCGATTTTTATTTTTTATTTTTCTTCATTTTAGATTATCGTGAGAGAAAGAAGAGCACATAGTGTGGGTGGGAGATGAAAACTGGAACAAATGAAAACGATGAGGGGAGGTATAAATGCGGTGTGTGTGGATGAAAAGATAAAGGAGCCGAATAAGTCATTTTGAGTGGAATAAGTATTTTAAGAAATGGGCACAAAAGTTACCAGAAGCAATGAAGAACCCAATTATCTATAAATGAATATTTCCAAATAAAGATTTTCTTTCATTGTTTGAGCCAGAATACGGATTGAAATTCAATGGTTGCAGTTATAAATAAGGACACGCAATAGCTGTACCACTAACATTGTCAAACTATTCTTTGATTCTGCGAACGAAACACCTCTGTCACCGGGACTCTGTGTTTTTAACTTTTACTTGGATCAAAAGGTTTATTCCATAACGCCATAAGCTTTTTACTCGTATCTGTGGAGAGTTTTAATATTTTGAAGAACCTTGTCACATTCTCTCATATAAGAAGTTGGAAACTTTTCACATTCAAAGTAAAGGATTAAGAAAAACACCGAAAATACTCTCAAGAAGTATTCTTAACTAAATATTTATCTTAGAAAAGTGGGCGTATAAGAAAGTAAAACACTGTGTAAAGATCAAGTTTTTTTGCAATTTCTTATATGATTGGATTGGATTCATATTTTTGATGTTTTATTTCTTTAGTTATATTTTTGATGTTTTTATTTATCTAGTGAACTTTTTCTTCTAATAGACCCAACAACTACCTTAAAAGTTTTTGTTATGGTTTGAATGTTGGTAGTGTCAAACCAAATTGACCAGCCACAATTCTACACAGAGACTTGCATCAAAACTATACATGATACTGCATATTTTGTTTCAGACTTGGAGTTGGAACCCTGCATTGCATTGTTCTGGCAGATCCTTTGAGAAAGAAGTATTATCATAAACATCATGTTCTCCCTCAAGCCAAATCAAATCCACCTTTGGAAGGTTCATAGACACAATATAATACACCATGCATGCCAAGAAAGGCCCAAGCCAGAAAACCCAGTGGCCATGCCAGAGTGGTCCTCCATGAAGCAATGCCGGGCCTAAGCATCTTGCTGGGTTGAGGCCCACACCAGCATAACCGGCCCGCCCAGATACAGTTAGGGACACAAACACTGCCAATGCCATGGATCCTGCCACCACCAAACACACCATTGGCAAGCCCAACTCCCTAGACCTTTTCTTGTCAAATGCCAATGTGACTCCCACAAAGAGTACCACAAATGTGCATGTGAATTCCACTAGCAAAGCATTCTGTGGCTTAACCCCAAAACTCACTCCTTGCCCATCAATGGCACAACCTCCCAAGGAATATGTGTAGGCTAATTTAGGGTCTATGACGCACTTTAGTATAAAGAAACCGATTATCGAGCCAATGATTTGTGCTAAGACGTAAATGAGAGCACGGGTGAGAGTGACAACACCCTTCAAAGCACCAATGAATGTGAAAACGGGACTCATGTGGCCCCCAGAGAGAGGAACTGTCACAACTAGGAACAAAAAGGCTATGATGAAAACTGCAAATGGAACAAGAAGCTTAGGATCAGTCTCATGTGAGTCCAAGCATGCAACAATGGAAGTGGTCAAGGTGAACATCAGAGATGCAGTTGCCGTTAATTCTGTTAAAGCCGCTTTCCACATCTGAAACAAGGAAACTAAGTTTTTATTCTTGTTAACAACAAATTACTTTCTGATTCACCTATGTTGTTACTGTGTGTCCATGTAATAATCAACTATACAATTTATAAACTCATTTTCAAAGTAATTTACTGTCTTATCATACTGGCTAAATGTTGGACAGCATTATGCTTCAGCTGTAAGAACCATTTATTCAACTGGTAACAACTCTCAAACGTGTATCATTATAAGCAACAGCAAAATTTAGTAAGGTAACTGTATTTCATAATAGATAAATCAGCATCATAAATGAGTAAAATGTTATCATATTTTGTGATTTTGTTTAATTCTTTTCTTCTGTGTGCCTCTTAAACTGATATTATATATTAACGTATGAGTCATAGACTATGCATGGGAATATGCTATCACGCATAGCACTTCACGGAAAGACACGATAGGACAAGACAACGTTCTATAATTTTCTACAAGAGAGAAACACACAACTTATTAAGATTGGATTAACTTCTACTCACTAGTGTAGAATACAACGCGTCTTTTAATCATGATTATAATGGAATGTTAATCATATGATAGTATGGTGGAAGATTATGATGAAATTGTCAACTTCAACAATTATAAATATAAAACATTATTTGTTAAAATGTAATCAAGATATAGATATTAGATAATGTAATTTACGATTGTCCGGTCAGTCATTAACTAAAAAAAATTATCAATTAGAATATTAACAAAATTAGTTATTAAAAATAATTAGATTAATCTTAAATCAAGTTATGGATACATAGGTCGTATTTAGGTTATCAATCCTAATAAAAAATCTATCACGTAAATCTGTTTGATATTCAGGTAGAGTTAGTAACTTTTACTACATATTTATTATAAAATTATTCAAACAAATCCTGATTTGAACGTCGGAGTGTGTTCTCTGCATGTAGCATCCGAACAGATTAAACGTGATAAGAATATATGAAGAACTAAATTGTGATTAAGTTAATACTAAAGAGACACTTCATACTAGAAAACTTAAAATCCTACAAACCGAAATACATAATTAAACTTTAAATAAGTAACAAAGATATAAGAGGATATGATAAGAAGAACATAAAATTTGCGTTAATTAATTCTACCTCTGGTCGGAAAATCTCATGTGCCCCAGTAAAAGCAAAACACTTTCGCCTTACTGATTTCTTTAACAAGGAACTGACTGGTTTGTTAGTATGATCAGATCTCGAAAGTTGTTCAACAACTACTACATGGGAATTAGCTAAGTCCATGTTTCCAGTGTTTCAAGAAGAAAGGGATGGCTGGATTCTATTTATAGAAACTACTTTTACAAAGCATATTAGCCACCTTATGGTTTGATGGAATAATCTGTCTGCGTAAATGTCTATGACATGGATAGGTTTGAGCTCACTTCTTTCTAGTTCTCCACAACTTCTTCGCTGTGAACAAAGCTAATTTTTGGACCTTTTTATGGAAATTCCAGCAATTTAACTATTCAAAAGTTGACTAGTACGTGTAGAACAACATTACCATAATATCAAGACTCTATTTAAAATGGATATTATAAGAAAACATTAGTACTATTCTTGTAGCTATTCCTGCTTTTTTGTTTGTGTTTTTCTTACGAAGTTATGATCAAAGCTGATGCATTGTATTTAGAGGGCATATTTTAGGTATATACTGAAAAAGATAGGTCTTGACAGGGTCAATTATCCTCTGCAATCACCGAGCTATTATGCATGATTTTTGTACATTACTTGGCAACGAAATGCTTATCCAACTTTCTTTTCTGATTAAATGTGATATATGGTTTATCAAACAACAATACAACTGAAGCAGAACACCATTAAATAAACAAATACTATTCTGATTTATATTTTTCTTTCTTATGTTCTGGAAAATGAGAAGACTGTTACCAAAAAGGATGACAAAGGCATACACTATATGATTGCTTCTGGACTTTTTAGGCAGATGCAACAACGAATTAAGCTAAATTGAAGTTCAAAAACAAAAATCTGATAGCCAAATTTGCAGCCTCATTTTCTTTTTATCAGACTAGAACAAGCATTTTTTATGGTATTTGAAAATTTGAATTTTGAGTTGATTCAATGAGAACCTGTGAACCCAAAGGATCGATCTTCAACAGATAGATAATAAATACATTGAATAGTGTTAAATTTACAAAAGAATGTTTTGAAGCATGCAATAAGACAAGCTGGTTGAGTGATTGATTAGAAGCTGTACATAATTTGAGAGGAAAATTGATTAGAAGAGAAATCAAAGTTAGAAATTGGATTGGTGATGGTGAGTGATTTTCCTGGTATTAACGTCATGAAAGATGAAATTCCTGATAAGTTTATCAGCCTTGGTGATCCCGGTGACACCAACAGCATCAGGGTCTTGGATAATGGGGTGACGCAGAGGATTCAATCCCTCCACACTCGACCTTAGCATCTTTTCCTTCCTCAAAAATTCACTTTTTTTATCGAACCAATCGCCCCAACCTTCTCTTAACGGTGAAATCCTTCTTCCCGTGCCCTTCAACAAAAGGGCATCCTCAACGCCCTTCACCTGCAACACCTTTGACCGCACCTTCTCCTCCACCGCCACGTCATCGGACCCAAACACGGTCTTCCCGCCATCATCCGGGTCCATAAAGGGCCCATCGTCGTCGTCTTCCATGAAGGAGCTCTTGCTGATGGCCCGACGGATCACGCCCTCCACGTGATTGAAGAAGTACCCAGACACGCCGGAGTTCCGATCCAGAGGCTCGTCGTCGTCGGCCTCGGCGTCTATGGCGTCCTCCGGCTCTTCATCCACCACGTCGAGAGCGTCGATGGTGTCCTCGCCGGCGATGAAATCGTCGTTGACGGAGTCGGAGAGGAGGGAGTCGAAATTGACATGGTGGGAAGGGTGGGGGACCGTAGCGCGGCGAACGAGGATGGAGGTGCAGACGATCACCAACAGAAGGAGTCCCAAAACGACGACGCACAGGAACACGCCGTGACGGGGACGACGCCGGGATCGGAGATTTCTCAGCATTTTCTCAAGTTGTTTTCAACGGAAATGCAAGAACGATGTTTCAAGTGGGCCCAATTTGGTGGGCCATTAATTGGTGGTTACCAACATCTTTTCCCTATATATAAAAAAAAAAAAACTTATTTTCCTTATATTATTAAATCTGGTAAAATTTTCCTTGTATAAATTACAATATTTCTCTAATACTTCGAATTCACATCGCGTCAATTTGAATTAAAATCAGGATTAGAGCAACATGAAATGCACATTCCTTGGAAATGTGATTGTGCTATTATTAAGACATGTTTATTGAAATTTAAATACTCCAACACGGATTATACAAGTTACACGAAGTACGATATATAATTAATATTTAGTACAATAAAGAAAATGAAAGAGCTATACACGTAAAATATATATATATATATATATATATATATATATATATAATGCAATATTGTTGCTGGGATTTTCTTATCAAGTGTTGACCACCTTAATCACGATAGTTGAAGTACCTTAAGATGGTTCGTGGTTGCTGCAATTTGTGTGGTTGATCTAACTTCAACTGAGAAACAAAACCTCAACATCTTCCCATACAATATGATCTCCATGATCGACTTGCCTCCTAACTAATCCACATTTTATACATATGACAAAAGTTGTGTGCATCATGTCTCACCCGTTACAAACTTGTCACGCCATCATAGACATGCTTGGAAGATTATATATACTGCTTCTGCTTTCCCTAGGTAGAGGAAATTACATGCATCTGATATATATCACTACCTAAGAAGAAATATGGGAGAAGAAGGTATTTGGAAAGATGTTACAAATGTTACAAAGCAAGGGATCAACCCCGGAAAGGCTACCATATTAGCTCTTGGCAAGGCTTTCCCTCCTCAGCTTGTCATGCAAGAGTTTTTAGTTGATGGATATTTCAGGAGCACAAACTGTGACAATCCCGAGCTTAAGCAGAAGCTCACTAGACTTTGTAAGTACACACACAGCCTTTCAAAAATTTACCCTTTTTTATGTATATATAGGGATATTGTGATTGATCATCTCAGGTGATTTGTTCATTCTTTATTTCCACCATCTGTTACCCTTCAAACAGTTGATTCTCGCGTAAGTTTAGATTATAGTTTGCAGATCATGTTTGGATACAGCAAACAATGGCTTAGGCCAAATATGTTATGCATGTTTAGATCAGAAGTTACAAATGTATGTTTATACGCAACCCTGATGTTGCTCTAGCTTGAAAGTTGGTATGCAAAATTACCAAAATGATTTTAAGGAGACAAACCTCGAGGAAGGTGAATGGGACACTGACTTTGGCTTAATATGGTATGAACAGGCAAAACAACTACAGTGAAAACAAGGTACGTGGTTATGTCGGAGGAAATACTGATGAAGTATCCAGAACTCGTTTCTGAAGGGATCCCTACAGTGAAGCAGCGGCTAGAGATATGTAACGAGGCAGTGACAGAAATGGCCATTGAGGCTTCAGAAGCTTGCATGAAGAACTGGGGTGGACCATTATCAGACATAACACACTTGGTTTATGTTTCATCAAGTGAAGCAAGACTACCTGGTGGTGACCTTTACCTGGCGAAAGGATTAGGACTGAGCCCTGATACTCAACGAATCATGCTCTATTTCGCTGGTTGTTCAGGAGGTGTGGCTGGCCTGCGTGTTGCAAAAGACATAGCTGAGAACAACCCTGGAAGTAGGGTGCTGCTTGCTACCTCAGAAACTACAATTATAGGGTTCAAGCCACCAAGTGCAGATAGACCCTATGATCTTGTGGGGGTGGCACTCTTTGGGGATGGTGCTGCTGCCATGATAATTGGCTCAGACCCAATATTGGAGTATGAGAAGCCTCTCTTTGAGCTTCACACTGCAGTTCAGGAGTTTTTGCCACATACTGAGAAGAAAATTGATGGGAGGCTGACAGAAGAGGGGATAAGCTTCAAGCTAGCAAGGGAACTTCCTCAGATAATTGAAGACTCTGTTGAAGGATTCTGTGACAGATTAATGAGTGTTGTTGGGTTCCAGAATAAGGAGTACAACAAGCTATTCTGGGCTGTCCATCCAGGGGGACCAGCCATCTTAAATCGCATTGAGAAAAGACTTAATTTGTTTCCAGAGAAGCTAAGTGCAAGTAGAAGGGCTCTCATGGACTATGGCAATGCTAGCAGTAATACCATTGTGTATGTGCTGGAGTATATGATAGAGGAGGGTCTCAAGACTAGAAAAGATGGCAGAGGAGATCATGAATGGGGTTTGATTCTTGCATTTGGACCTGGAATTACATTCGAGGGAATTCTTGCCAGGAACTTGAGTGCTTTAAATGTCACATAAGTGCTACGTAATGCTTACTGATATAATTATCACAGGTACTTGTGTGAGACATGAGTCAATCAAAGAAAATCCAACACTTTAACGTATTAAAGTGGAAGACTTTAATAATGAATCACATATTTATCAGAACACCTTTACTTTGTATAACTCCAAGAGATTGAAAATATTGGAATGCCACACAATAAGCAAAGGGTCAATTTTCAGAAAAGGAAAGAAATAAGATAATTTGCTGAGAATTACTAGTGAAACTTCGGGTTGAAGCGGGATTGGAATTTCAATCTTTATGATGCATTCAACTAGAAAACTAATACAGAATAAAATAACAAATTTTCAATTTTCACAGACGCCGTTAGAGAAATAGATTAGGTGTTTCTTCCGGAAAAATGGCAAATTTCTGCTAATTTAGTTTAGTTTACACAGATGGTTTCCCTTCTACATAGAAAAGCGTGTGGTTAAAATATTGTAGGAAGAATTTCAGTTGAAGAGCTGTTATGGACTTTAGGACATTCTTCTGTTTATTATCATCGAAGTCAAACTTCTGTTTAAACCATTTTAATCACTCGTATTGCCTTCAGCTGTCATTATGGCCACAACCTTTTTCGTTATATAGAATTCAGACCATGACTTTTGCAGTCTCAATTCAAGCAAAAGCATTACGTACAAATATTTTGTGCTCTGTTTTACTTTCCTTTATGTTTCAGAAACTGAAAGCAACAATTTTCATAGGTAGGAATTCCTCAGGAATTCTATGCACTCAACAATTTGGACTTGTTCTGTGCAATGACACCATAAAACTCGCATTTGATGTAAGACATTTTGTAGAAAGCTTATGTAAGAAGATCCAAATTCCAAGAGTCCAAGCAAACCCATGCTCTGTATCAGGTTCTGTATTTGGTGAACGAAAAACAAATATTTTTTCAAGCACTAAACTTTTCGTAGACTCGATTTCCGAAAATTGATTTTTATGGTGCATTGTGGAACCACACATAGGATAAATACCGTAGTACCTTGACCTTTTGTAAAGCACTTCCAACTATAAATGACTTTGTGTAAAGCACTTCCAACTATAAATAGACTGTGTAAAGCACTTCCAACTATAAATAACCGTAGTACCTTAAAATAAATATACTTGGTTTTCTTTCATCCCCAACTTTACACTCCACCAAAGAACCGAACAAGTGAGCCAACACAAAATGTACTCTAACAAGGGTAACCGACCATAATGCCTGATTATGTTAAAAATAGTGTGACAGACAGCTCACACCAAAGCATATCTTCAATCACACCACTCCAGAGGGAAGACGTAGAACAAGCTGTCCCCCGAAAACACTGCAATTAAATAAAAATAAAAATCATGAGGTGAAATATACAAGAGAAGCGCTGGAGTGATCCTGAAAAACTCTGAGCAAAAAGCATTATAGAATGCCTGGGAGACAAAGAATTACATCAGAAACTAAACCAACCTTTTGACATAATAGTAACAGAAATCTGCCAGGATGAAGGTCTGGACAATTTCTGAGATAAGAACCATTGATGGCCATAAACCATACCCCAAGGCTACCAACAAATGCCCACGGCTATCTAATACCTGTGAAAGAAACGGTAAGTTAGTAGGAGACCAACAGTTAGAAAATTCAGTAAGATATACCACTAAAGAGACAAACCAATAACAGCATCAATCAAGTAACTGTTAAGTATCAAATTGGTTTAAACTTAATTGAGAAACTCAGAACACGTCCATTCAAATGGAAAATTAGAAACGGGTAGAACCCATGACCTGGTTAAAATTCTGGTAGAGGAAACATGTCTTAGTTAATACAACTTAAAATGAAAGAGGAACTAAAACTTATAAAGGAATGCTCAAATTTCAGACCTTTCAACAAGATAGACATTCAAAAAAGAAATACTGTCCTAGGGACTCTGATAACCAGCATGTGTCAAAAAACAACTGAGCATCAAATTTACAAATGAATTTTGAAGTTATCATGATCAAACCTGAAGAACCCAATGTGCACAGCTCAAGAATCTTGCGACACCCAGTGCAAATACGTAATGGGCTGTGAATGGCTCAACAATCTGAAAGTGTAAAATGAAATTGAAAGATAGAATCAGATACCATACACAAAATGTTGAAGATGGATTGTTAAGTTAAGAAATAACACCTTGGTGTTCTGCATGACCCGCAGCTGGGGCAGGACTGAAACAGCTTCCAGATATACGCAGAATGCCCAGGAAATCCTGTTTATTAAATGATGAGAAGTTGATGGATGAATAAGCAATGCTAACACAGCACAGGGAACCACCTGCATTCAATTCAAAGTAAAGAACATCAAACTGACTCTTGGTAAACTTATAAGCTACAAGCAATGTAAGACAAAATAACAAACATATGAAAAGGAATAGGTTGTTAAATCTCTCAATCTATCAAAGTAGACACATAAGCGGAGGAACGGAAGAAGGAGGGAGTAAAAGGAAAGCCACATTAAATATATGGCCAGCAGTTTTATTTGATGCAATGGCACTTCGCTCTGTCAAAATAAGAGCAAGTAGTAAGTCCTACTTTGTGACTGCCATTAGAAATTAGTGATAATAAGTCCACTTCACATGCATCATGTCACGGTAAACAATTCTCCCATGTGACTTTACAGATCCAGACTTTCTCGTCTTATTCATCCAGAAGGATGTTTGCATTGGTATCATATCGTCAATACAACTATTTCAATGATTGGAAAATAATTATACTGAAAGAATAATTTTCAGTACCAGCAATGTCTACTGCCACCCCCCAGGTAATATCTTAATAAATTGTGATTATGAAATGGCTAGCATCTTAAGACACTGTATGAAACTCTAACACTAATAATATGGTCAAGTTCCCAATTCCAGCAGAAAGAAAAAGAAAAAAATGCTTCACCTACAAGAACTAATAAAATGTCACTATCTTTTGAAAGGACATAATAGACGGTGGTGAGCTTCTAATCTTACGATGAAACAATAGGTAGTGGAGGCATTGGAGCTTACCACATAGTATATTGCAAAGTTATCCTTCTCCTCCATGTAACTAGCCTTCAGCTTAAAACGAATCATATATATAACCCACAGTGTTGTTATGAAAGTAGCCAAATCAAGTATGGTGTGGATATCATATTCCATGACAAAACTGCAGTAAAGCCTAACAGCTAAAAATATAGCTGTTAATTCCTGGGATTTGAGTGATAACCCTGTTCATAATTCATAACCGTTAGAAATATATACCTCTAACATGTTCAACAACAAAAGACAACACATAGAATTGATTAAGCCAAAATACACACACAAATCAAATCAACCAAACAATGCCGACCGGATTGTCAAAATAAATTGAAAATTGCAAAGCATAAAAGAAAACAACAATCCTTACAAAAAAATGGTAAAGGAAATCTAGATGGGTTAAATTAAAATCAGAAGAAACCGGTCCCAAAAAATTGACATTTCTAATTTTATTTTCTGAGCATTCCATTTGATATTTGAAATAAGTTAAAAGGAGAACTCTTAACCTACCCTATCCAATTAACGAATTGAAATAGAAGATACAAGTTCAAAGATCAAGAGAAAAAAAAAATAACTGAGTGTTACCAGCACAAGTCTTCTCCTTCGTGAGCTTATAGATGAGGACGGAAATTCCCAGAGAGTGGACAGCCTCAGCAGCAACAAAGAGATTGTCGTGATCGTGGACGATGAAGCGGAGGAGGACGAGAGCCGCCATGCCGGAAACGACGGCGAGAAAAGCCTTTACCTTTGGGGGTTGTCGCCTCACCCATGACGTGACGGCGTAGATCGACGTTCTCTGAGGTCTCATGGGGTCGCTGATTCAACTTTTTGGACACCCAACACACGCACGCACGCCTAAACTACAACCAACGTTGGATTGAAACAAACAGAGTAAACAATAGCCCAATGCCACAACGGAGACTCAGACAAAACAAATCNCCGGAAAAATGGCAAATTTCTGCTAATTTAGTTTAGTTTACACAGATGGTTTCCCTTCTACATAGAAAAGCGTGTGGTTAAAATATTGTAGGAAGAATTTCAGTTGAAGAGCTGTTATGGACTTTAGGACATTCTTCTGTTTATTATCATCGAAGTCAAACTTCTGTTTAAACCATTTTAATCACTCGTATTGCCTTCAGCTGTCATTATGGCCACAACCTTTTTCGTTATATAGAATTCAGACCATGACTTTTGCAGTCTCAATTCAAGCAAAAGCATTACGTACAAATATTTTGTGCTCTGTTTTACTTTCCTTTATGTTTCAGAAACTGAAAGCAACAATTTTCATAGGTAGGAATTCCTCAGGAATTCTATGCACTCAACAATTTGGACTTGTTCTGTGCAATGACACCATAAAACTCGCATTTGATGTAAGACATTTTGTAGAAAGCTTATGTAAGAAGATCCAAATTCCAAGAGTCCAAGCAAACCCATGCTCTGTATCAGGTTCTGTATTTGGTGAACGAAAAACAAATATTTTTTCAAGCACTAAACTTTTCGTAGACTCGATTTCCGAAAATTGATTTTTATGGTGCATTGTGGAACCACACATAGGATAAATACCGTAGTACCTTGACCTTTTGTAAAGCACTTCCAACTATAAATGACTTTGTGTAAAGCACTTCCAACTATAAATAGACTGTGTAAAGCACTTCCAACTATAAATAACCGTAGTACCTTAAAATAAATATACTTGGTTTTCTTTCATCCCCAACTTTACACTCCACCAAAGAACCGAACAAGTGAGCCAACACAAAATGTACTCTAACAAGGGTAACCGACCATAATGCCTGATTATGTTAAAAATAGTGTGACAGACAGCTCACACCAAAGCATATCTTCAATCACACCACTCCAGAGGGAAGACGTAGAACAAGCTGTCCCCCGAAAACACTGCAATTAAATAAAAATAAAAATCATGAGGTGAAATATACAAGAGAAGCGCTGGAGTGATCCTGAAAAACTCTGAGCAAAAAGCATTATAGAATGCCTGGGAGACAAAGAATTACATCAGAAACTAAACCAACCTTTTGACATAATAGTAACAGAAATCTGCCAGGATGAAGGTCTGGACAATTTCTGAGATAAGAACCATTGATGGCCATAAACCATACCCCAAGGCTACCAACAAATGCCCACGGCTATCTAATACCTGTGAAAGAAACGGTAAGTTAGTAGGAGACCAACAGTTAGAAAATTCAGTAAGATATACCACTAAAGAGACAAACCAATAACAGCATCAATCAAGTAACTGTTAAGTATCAAATTGGTTTAAACTTAATTGAGAAACTCAGAACACGTCCATTCAAATGGAAAATTAGAAACGGGTAGAACCCATGACCTGGTTAAAATTCTGGTAGAGGAAACATGTCTTAGTTAATACAACTTAAAATGAAAGAGGAACTAAAACTTATAAAGGAATGCTCAAATTTCAGACCTTTCAACAAGATAGACATTCAAAAAAGAAATACTGTCCTAGGGACTCTGATAACCAGCATGTGTCAAAAAACAACTGAGCATCAAATTTACAAATGAATTTTGAAGTTATCATGAT